TACAACAATGGTTGCTTGTTATTTGTTTTCTATGATTATTTTCCAAATGACGAAATTTATTGAATTAAACAGAATCTATTGATTTCTGTAAGAGTACATAATTTTGCATTGACTGTAATGAGCGAAAAATCGTAGTGTTTCTTTGTCTACATTCATTGATTTCACTCAAATAAAGAGAAAATTAACTTTAAAAATATAATTTTATTGATTGAGATATTTGAAAATAAAGAAAAACGATATTTATTTGAATATGAACAGATAGAAAAGCTTTTCTTTTAAGACTTAACATCGAAATTGTTATTGAAAATACATTATACTCAATTGATAACTTCATTGAATGAAACATAGCAATATATTCAACATCATAATGCAAACTACTTTAACATTAGAATCCATGAGAAAATAGCTAGAAAAATAACATTTTTATGATAGTATCTATGCAAGATACACTTCTTTATGCTAAAAAATGGAATTTTTATCTTGTCTTTAAAAGTACATCTTCAATAAACTCAGATAGGCTTTCTTTTTTTTTATAGTGAGAAATGTATAATAATAGTTAGAGCACTAATATAACATAATATCTTATGCGAAAAAACTATAATATTGAAAATTTAGATAGTTAAATATTTCCTTAAGTTAATAAGTGTAATATGAAATATAAAATTTCAGATATCATTGAAAAAAAACGCGAGTCATTTTCATACGTACCTAAGTACTGATAAATTTGATTAAAACAGACTTTTATTATAATGTCTTATAATACTGAAATCACACACCCTAATATAGAGAAAACTTGTTTTTTTTTTATACTAAAATACAACAACTTTTTATTTCTACACAAACTAAACGATACTATTTTAATCTGTCTTTCTTTCCACAGGAAATAAAAAACATCACATAATATTTATTCTTCAATCATTTCAGTGATATTCAATGCAAATTTTGAATTCTATGTTTTTGTTGATTGTTCTCTAATAGTAAATAAAATAAAACGAAATCTTTCGAAATTATTTCTATTCATATATAGGGATATAACAGATTCCTTTTTAAATTAAGCTTTGCTATTGCAGAATGAAAGAGTGCTTGTACATCTCAGTAGCGCGGTTCTAAGAAGAAAAGACATACGAGAGGGTGTGTGATTTCAGTATTATAAGACATTATAATAAAAGTCTGTTTTAATCAAATTTATCAGTACTTAGGTACGTATGAAAATGACTCGCGTTTTTTTTCAATGATATCTGAAATTTTATATTTCATATTACACNTTTTAAAAACATACATATCACTTTTTTTTGAATCGACATAAAATAAAAAGCTAATTCTAAAAAGTGAAATATTACATATTGTTAATGCTTTACATGATTGGAGGTCTATTTTAAATGAGACAAAGTTCTGTAGCTAATCAAGTAGGTCTCTACAATACTACACCCTGATTTAAACAACACACGCATATCATTAGAGTGACTACCACGATTTGGTTCAGTTCGATGTCCTTTGAGATTTTTTGTGAATCTAGGTGTTCATTTTAACATAAAATGACCAGACTGGTCATGAATATGAGGCAGATCCCTAGCAGAGGGTGAAAATGAACCTAAGACCAAAGTGAAAACCAGTTGGAAATGTGGAATAGACCGCTAGATTCATGAATTTTCTCTAGTACAATCAAAATGTATTAGTTATTAAGGGGTATAAAACTTATTTTTGTTATTGATAATAAGTTGAAGTGTTGTTTAAATCAGGATGTAGCATTGTAGAGACCTATTCGATTAGCTACAGAACTTTGTCTCATTTAAAATAGGCCACCAATCATGTAAAGCATTAACAATATGTAATCTTTCACTTTTTAGAATTATTTTTTTATTTCATGTCGATTCAAAAAAAAGTGGTATGTATGTTTTTAAAATGAAAAATTAGTTATAGTTGTATATCTTGATCATAATATCATCAATTAATTGATAATTATTTGATATTTAGTTGGTCTGAATTAACTTCGACAAAATTGTTGACGAAGTTGCAACTTCGACGACCGGTGTAACTTCGATACGACATATATACAACAATGGTTGCTTGTTATTTGTTTTCTATGATTATTTTCCAAATGACGAAATTTATTGAATTAAATAGAATCTATTGATTTATGTAAGAGTACATAATTTTGCATTGACTGTAATGAGCGAGAAATCGTGATGTTTCTTTGTCTACATTCATTGATTTCACTCAAATAAAGAGAAAAGTAACTTTGAAAATATAATTTTATTGATTGAGATATTTTAAAATAAAGAAAAACGATATTTATTTGAATATGAACAGATAGAAAAGCTTTTCTTTTAAAACTTAACATCGAAATTGTTATTGAAAATGAATTATATTCAATTGATAACTCCGTTGAATGAAACATAGGAATATATTCAACATCATAATGCAAACTACGTTAACATTAGAATCCACGAGAAAATAGCTAGAAAAATAACATTTTTATGATAGTACCTATGCTAGATATATATATACTAGTGATCAGCGGAGTCGCACTTTTTGATTCCGATTTCGACTCCGACTCCGAAAAATTTTTTTTTTGATTCCGATTCCAACTCCGAAAAACTCCGACTTTTTCTTGTAATTAGTTTACTGACATCTAGTTCATTTCGGGTAAAAATTTGATGCTCAGTATTTTTTTGTAGATTCTCAATTATATTTTCTGAGTATTATTTTCAAATCAGCAGTAAAGAAATGAAACTATAAGTGACAAATTTGATGTTCGATATGTATTGCGTTCGCTCAGTTAACTTACTGCTTGCTCAGTAAATTATTGAATTCTTTACTAGTAGTACTAAAGTATCAGCAGATGATTCTGTTTGTTCATCAAATGAATAGGTTTTTATCAGTATTCAATTGAAGGCTGAACAAAAGAAAATTAAACACTGAGCTGTTTCTGAAATTAATTACTGAAGTTTCTAATTCTTTCCTATGCTGAAGAAAAACGTTTCTACAGAGCAAAACAATATTAAGCGCATGAGGAAAAAATGGTGAGCAATGATCAAAAAATACTGAACAATAAAATACATACCATTCATTTCAATGCTTGTTATTCTGAAGGGGTAAAAATATAAGCGAGTCAGTAAGAAATGGGCAGTTTATAGTATCAAAAGATTTGTTTTTTCGATGTTTTTTTGAAAACGACAAAAACAGTACGAGTAAAAAAGGTTTTAAGAAAAGCACAACTTGAAAAATTAATAAAATATGGTGATCCATAAATAAAATTTGTTGAAAAGACGAGAACATCACATTCAAACGAATGATTGAATTTTTTTCATTATACATTTGTAAATGATGATCGACATCAACACTTTCTTTTGAAGAATCCACTTGTATAGTTCCCAAGAAATATTGCCTCGACGCCCAAGACAGTTACAATGACTAATAAAAATAAGGGAATTTCCTGAATTAGCCTTTTTCCTGTACGCTGATGGTTAATTTGAACTTAGGATAAGCACAGGACTGGATGAAATCATAATTTCTGCTCCGTTTTACCTATCTGAAGGACGGGATTGATGTTAGGACAGAGCAGAAAAGTAAGCTGTGTTCACTTCTCATCTTTGATATGAACATCCTGTGCCATTCTTTTTTCGTAAAATTTATAAAACTAAACGTTGCATATTTTTTCAATACAATACTGCATGAATAAACCTATTTCTAAACAAAATTCGTATTACTTGACTGTTGCACCAATATGTCTCAGTCATTAACTAAAATAATTATTTCAATCGTACCGCCTCAGAGTGGATTTCGGAGTCTCAATTGGATTTCGGAGTTTGATGCTGTTTTTGACTACGACTCCGACTCCGGAAAATATTTTTTCACGATTCCGATTCCAACTCCGACTCCCGAAAACTTTTTTCGGTTTCGATTCCGACTCCGACGGAGTCGGAGTCGGAATCGGGTTTCGGACTCCTGTGCAGTTCACTAATATATACATATCCTTTTTATGTATGTCCAACTTCAGATATTTGATACGAAATCTACAGTTTTTTAGAAGAATTCATCTAAATTCGATGAAATATAAGCTCTGAAATTTGGATGCATTTAATTTTATTAATTTCTCAGTTATATTTGTTTGTCTGGGCTACTAGCACATTCTATCTTAGTGAATTTCTCTGTTTCAATTTTCAGAATTATGGAAAATATTTTGATCTTTTCTGCAACTTTTTACAAACACAGTAACCCGATACTTTATTTCCATAGTATATGTTAATAACTTATAATCAACATTGTTGAAAAATGAAATTTTATCTTGTCGTTAAAAGTACATCTTCAATAAACTCAGATAGACTTTATTTTTTACAATGAGAAATGCTTAATAACAATATTTAGAGCACTAACATAACAAAATATCTTATGCGAAAAAATTATAACATTGAAAATTTAGATAGTTAAATATTTCCTTAAGTTAATAATTGTAATATGAAATATAAAACTTCAGATATCATTGAAAAAAAACGCGAGTCATTTTCATACGTAGATAAGTACTGATAAATTTGATTAAAACAGACTTTTATTATAATGTCTTATAATTCTGAAATCACTCACACACACAACATAATATAGAGAAAACTTGTTTTTTTTTACACTAAGAAAATACAACAACTTATTATTTCTACATAAACTAAACTATACTATTTTAATCTGTTTTTCTTTTCACAGGAAAAAAAACATCACATAATATCTATTCTTCAATCATTTCAGTGATATTCAATGCAAATTTTGAATTCTATGTTTTTTTTTGATTGTTCTCTAATAGTGATTTCTCCATTATGTTATTTATAAAATAAAACTAAATCTTTCGAAATTATTTCTTTTCTCAAAATCCCCTTTTTACTTGTGAAATTTTTTCTGCCCGTACCAATTAAATTACAAATATCTCATGAATTTCTTAGCAAAGTGAACAATTCATTTTTCATTGAAATCCATTTTTATTTCTACTTCATACTTTTGTTTCATTTCAGTACCACCACCACGTGCAAGCTCCATTGACATTCATCCCAATGCAACATGGTCAAAGAATGGTATCACTGTTGCTGGAGGAAATGGATATGGCAGTGCAACCAATCAATTCTATAACCCATGGGGTTTGTACGTCGACGACGATCTAACGATTTATGTCGCTGATGTTTTAAATCATCGTATTGTAGAATGGAAATCTGGTGCAACGAATGGCACAGTAGTTGCTGGTGGAAATGGACAAGGAAATGGAACTCATCAATTAAATTGCCCACGAGATGTGATTATCGACAAAGAGAGCGATAGTCTCATCATTAGCGATACAGGGAATGGCAGAGTAGTTCGATGGCCTCGTCGAAATGGTACTTGTGGAGAAACCATTATTTCAAATATCGGTTGCTGGAGTTTGACAATGGACGACAATGGTTTTCTCTATGTTGTAAACAGTGGAAAACATGAAGTAAGACGATATAAAATGGGTGATACTCAAGGAACAGTAGTTGCAGGTGGCAATGGACAAGGAAATCGTCTCGATCAACTCTCTTATCCCACCTACGTCTTTGTCGTCGATCGAGAACATTCAGTTTATGTGTCTGATCGTGACAATGATCGTGTCATGAAATGGGAAGAAGGTGCAAAACAAGGCATTGTCGTAGCCGGTGGTCAAGGAAAAGGAAATAGTCTTACACAGTTGGATCATCCTTTTGGAGTCGTTGTCGATCAATTGGGTACTGTCTATGTGGCTGATTTTGCGAATCATCGAATCATGCGTTGGCCAAAAGGAGCCACACAAGGAAGTGTCATTGTTGATGGAAACAGTATATGGTGGAAGTCGAATCAACTCTCTCTTCCCATAGGTTTATCATTCGATCGACATGATAATCTCTATGTCGCCGATTACGGAAATGCTCGAGTACAAAAATTTAATATTGCATAGACTCAATTTGTATGATTAATTTTTTTGCTTCGTTCTTTTTTTTTCTCTTTCAAATAAATCGTGATTGAATGAAAAATACATTGAAATCTATCCTATTCTCGCACGCACGCGCGCGACCAGGAACGACCCTGGTGGAGCCACGGCGAGCGTAATGCTCATGCACACGTGAGAAGACTCACATCATCCACATGCATCCATCAATGACATATGTCCGTGAGCCTGGGGGCTCAATCGTGTTGCCATGGACATCAGAACCGTTCCTGGCTGGGCTTTTAGGGACTACCCAGAAGTCCTTCCTATAAGACCAAACTAACCTCAACGTACCTCACTAACACTCACTCAACTAAGACTCGCCCTAACCCTCCTAATCTCACTGTAACTATCTATTCTCAGTTATCTCTCTCTATTCTCATCTCAAAAGAAAAAAAGAAAAGAAACAATTACTCACTGATCGCTGTTGCACGATATATATGAAGACGACACAACATTGTTGACGACTAAAAGAAAAACAGAATAACATTACTTTTACGTGAAACATATTGAAGTAGAATAACATTACCTGCTCCTGTTATCTCTTTCACTTCATTGTTGAGTGCCTAAAATAATAAAAAACATTCATATGAAATAAATTCTACTTACATGGACATGTTATGAACTAAAACAATAATAGAATAAATGCGGAAACTTCGGATTTAAATCCGAGAGTTATGTGTACTTCAAAAAGTGAATCATACAAATCAATCATCCTAGACTGTCTGAATATTAAAATTATACTGTGAAATCTACCATTTAAAATGTTGATTTCTATTGCGCGTTGCCAAACCAATAGAACATGGGACCGAATACAGCTCAAGTTTGAACTCTTTCCCTTGATTTACCCTAAGAAAGTCGTTTTTTCTATAACTTCATTTCTATTGGTCACTGCACAACTAATAGTATTTCGGTGGAAGTGAAGTACACATTCGAGTTCTCCATATCTGAAAACCTCGAAGTATCATCAGTGTGACCGGAAGATAAAGCTCGATTTGTGGATCAATTAGGTCGTAGACCAAAATATAAGCTAGTTCTCTTTAATTATCTTTGTGATAGGTTAGTCAACCTTCTTGTTTCTTTATGTTTTATATATCATTTTGTAGTTCTTGAAATTCTCTATCGGA